GGTCTTGGGCAACTGGCGGTCATGTCACCCAGAGATGCAAAGGGAGATTGGGTGGGGAAGGGCCTGCCCCAACGGCTCCTGGGAACTGCAGGGAGCAACTGAGTTGGTCTGGATGCAAAGGATCAGGAAGCAGTAGTGGTTCCCCTGGTGTCTGGGGTGCCAAGACAAGGAATGGGACAGTTCCTAGGGTAGGAGAGGAGGGGAGCATGAATGGGGCTGGGGGAGTCAAGACATGGAGGGCGCGGTGGATTGCCCAGGAGAGATGCCGGTGATTGTGTAGTGTAGTCCCAGGGAAGCAGAGGGAGGTGAGGGTGGGACCAGGTCCAGAGGGCTCCTGGGGACCTTGAGAAGGAATTGGGTTTATCTGGATGAGGGATCAGGAACCAGTGGTGGTTCCAGGCCTAGAGGTCAGCCCCAGTGTCCAGGAAAGAGCTCAACATAGTTTTGAGATTCATCTGTATTTACTTTTTATTTTTCCTAAGAACTAGAGCCACGGTTTTTTTTTTTTTTTTTTTTTTTTTTTTTTTTTTTCTGTCTTTTTGAGGCAGAGTCCTCTTATAGTCCCAAGTGGTCTGGAACTTGCTATGTTGACCAGGCTGGCTTTGATTTCACAAAAATCTCCCTGCCTCTTCCTCCCCGGTGTTGGGATTGAAGGCATGTGCTGCCTTACTCAGCTAGTGATTATTTTTTAAATGTTCAATTATATTCCATTATGTGAGTATGTCACCCTTTTGGGTACCCATTCACCTGAACATACTTGATTTTCTTTCTTTTTTTTTATTTTTTTAAGTTTCATGCTATTATAAGTAAAATTTTGGGTCTGGAGAGACGGCTCAGCAGATAAGAGTACTGGCTGCTCTGGCAGAAGACCTGGGTTCACTTCCCAGCACCCATGTGGCAGCTAACAACCATTTGTAACTCCAGTTCCAGTGGGATCCAATGCCCTCTTCTGACCTCTCCGGGTATTGCATGATACAGTTGCATTTCGTACATGCAGGCAGTACACTCATACACATAAAATAAAAATAATAAATTTTAAAAATGAGTAAAATTTCAGGGAATATATAAGCCCCTTTGTAATGTATTTTCTTTTTTTTTTTTTTTAGGTAAATATCTCAGAGTAGAATTTCTGGTTTTAGAATAAGTGAAGTTTAAATTAGAAGATGCCAAGCCATCTTCCATACCAGTTGTACCATTGTACTCTAGCTAGAATTGATGAGCATTTAGTTGCTTGATAATCTCACCAATGTTGACATTGCCAGTCTTTCTGTTTTGAGTCATTTCAGGGAGTGTATAGATCATGTCATTGTGATTTAATCTGCGTTTTTCTGATCTGTGTACACCTAAAAATGTTTGTTCTACACTTGTTAGATATTATAGGTATCCTATAAATATCAATAAGACCATGTTGATTGATGTATTGTTTAAGTGTTCTCTATCTTTACTGACTTTCTTTTGGGCTACTTCATAATTACTGTGAGAAAAGATATGAAGGCATAGATTTATTCATATATTCTTTCAGTTCTGTAGCTTTCAATTTATGCGTTTGAAAGCTTTGTTTTTAGGTTCACATGCATTTACAGTTATTTTCCCCAATGAATTCATCTTTATTTTTTTAAAAAAATCTCTTATTTCTAATATTTGTTTTATGTTTTATTTAATACCAACATAACATTGCCAGTGTAGTCTTCTTATGCCTGCTGTATGCTATACTTTTCCCTCTTTTTAACCCAACACATTTATTCTTTGTATTTGAACATTATTGTCTTTAGAATATAGTTGATATGTCTTTTTATATTCATCCTAACAATCTTTGCCATTTCTGTGGGGAAGTTATATAGACCACTCATATTTAATATAATGTTGGTAAAGTTGCATTTTTCCAGGTTGTAAATGTGATTTTTATCCCACTTTCAAGCTAATAAGTTTCTATTTTATTGTTCTGTGGATGCTGTCAGAAGACAGAATAATCTGAGGTATCAAGAGGTTATTAAGTTCTTTGTGCTTGCCTTCATAATTAAGTCAGTAGTAGACATGGTATTTCAACATTGACCATCTATTCAAACTCTAGGCCTTAGAATTTTAACAAGTATATTATCCCAAAAGATGTCCTGCAGTTAGATAAATAATTTATGAGGAAAAGTAGCATTTAATTATTTTTACCTATTTATCATCATGTTATTGATGTAGATTTTATATTTAATTTCTATATTTCAGTGTTTTTACATTTTTAGCATATATTTGCTAAAGAAAATTGTGATTTTTGGGGGGTTGGAGAGATGACTCAGTGGTTAAGAGCACTGCCTGCTTTTGCAGAGGACCCAGGTTTCAGTCCCAGCATCCACATGGCAGCTAGCAACTGCCCATAACTCCAGTTCCAGGGATATCTCATGCCCTCTTCTGACCTCTGTGGGTATTGCATGTCATAGGCACACTTACATATATGCAGGCAATACACTCATACATATATATAAAAAAATAATAAAAATATTTTAAAAAAAGAAATGTATGGGGCTGGAGATATGGCTCAGTGGTTAAGAGCACTGCCTGCTTTTGCAGAGGACCCAGGTTTCAGTCCCAGCATCCACATGGCAGCTAGCAACTGCCCATAACTCCAGTTCCAGGGGAATCCAATGCCCTCTTCTGACCTCTGCGGCGTTGCATGACATGGGTGCACTCACATACATGCAGGCAATACAATCATACACGTAAAATAAAAATAATAAAATATTTTTTAAAAATGTATGATTATTTTCTGTGACATAAATATTAAGAAATCCATTATTTAGTAACTATATATCATATATTTATAAAATAGAGAAATCAGAATATTCTAATTTTTGTTACTTGTATAATTCAAATGTCTTCATTTTGATGTATTTAAAATATTTTATATTTAATCTGAGTAAACTATTTTGTGAAAATAATGGTCTGTACATTTAAAAATAATCCATAGAGTAGACAAATGCACTATACACCATGAATGAACAATATTTATTAGTATTATATATTTTACTTCATGAAATTCTATCAAATTTGTATGTGCCTACAATTTAAAGAGCCAAATATATGGCTTATGAGGAAAACCATATTTCTTTTTGTACTCCCGCTTACCTGTGCACTCAATTCTCTCTGTCTCTCTCTGTCTCTCTCTCCCCCTCTCCCTCTCCCTCTCCCACTCCCTCTCCCTGCACACACACACACACACACACACTCCTTTTTCAATTTCTCTTTGTTTTGGTCCGGTTTCAAGGTGGCTGGCCTTGAATTCTTGATTCTCTCACCTCTATTTCTTGAGTGCTAGAATTACAAACATGCATCACCATGCCTGACTTTTATCGTTTTAATTTAATTTATTTATTTATTTAAATTTTGTGTGAATAAGTGGTTTTCCTGCAAGTATGTTAGTGCACTACATCCGTGCCAGTGGAGGCCAGAGGAGGGTGTTGGATCCCCGGAGTTGTAGTTACAGACAGTTATTAGTCACCCTGTGGTGCTAGGGTGCTAGGGTCCTCTGCAAGTGCAGCCAGTACTCTTAACTGCTGTACCAGCCTCCATTTTAATTTTTTTAGTGGTATCTTCAGAAGAGCAAAAGCTTTAAACTTTGACAAAATCCACTTTGTCGAAAGTTTAATTGTACATGCTTTTGGTATCATTATTTTTAAATAGTTCATTTATTTTATTTTATGTATATGAGTATATTGTCTGCATGTGTGTAAGTGTACCAGTGTTGTGCAGTGCCAGTGGAGGTCAGAATAAGGGGTTTGGTTCCCCTGGAACTGGAGTTTACGGACTGGAGTTATGGAATTTATGGAGTTAGCTGCCATATAGGTGCTGAGAACCAAACCTGGGTCCTCTGCAAGAGCAGCCAATGCTCTTAACCACCGAGCCATCTCTCTTGCTCCAGTGCTTTGGGTGTTATAGCTAAGAATTTTGTGCCTAACCTAGAATCATAAATTTTTTTTCTGCTTTGTAAGTTTTACAGTTTTTTCTCATTTTTAAAGCTGTAATTTGTTTTAACTTAATTTTGGCATATGATGTGAGGTATCTGATATTTTTCATTTAATTTGTAGATTTTTGTTCATTCAGTGTTTCATACCCAGTTGTTGTCATTGTTCTATTTCATTTTTATTTATTATTTTTATTTTATGTGTGTGAGTATTGGCTGCATGTATGTAAGTGCACCTGTATTGTGCAATGCTCTCAGAGGTCAGAAGAAGGCATCAGATTCTCCTGGAACTGGTTCTCCTGGAACTGGAGTTATGGACTGTTGTTGACCACCATGTGCATGCTGGGAATTGAACCTGGGTCCTCTGCAAAAGCAGCCAGTGTTCTTAACTGCTGAGCCATCACTCCAGCCCAAGTTAAAGTCATTATCCTTGATGCTCACATATTCTAACTAGGTTGCTGCCTCTATGCCTTCTCGACATGACCTGTTTGTCTGTGCTTCCTATCGCCAGTATTTCTCCTTCAACAGTCCAGAAATTGTTCATTTCTCCACTGTTCTGTAGCACTTTTTCCTTTTACTGTTTTTCATCGCTACTGGGGTTGGAATTGATACTGCTTTTAGTAATCAGTGTTACTACAACTTTAAAAAATCATGCATCTGTAACAATGTTTTTCATTCAGATATGAAGTTTGTTTCTTTTATATTGCTGCTACTTAAAGGAGAAATTTATTGTCATTTAGTGATGTTTAATGAGAGTTCTCATTCCAACATTATTAAATACAATCTCTAAACCTTTTATATTATATGTTTTTTTATTAGATCTTATAAAATCATGTCTTTTCTAATTTATTTTTTTCTGTACTTATCAGTAGTATTCCGTGACCTATGATCACTTAACTAGGTGGGAACCAGGTTGAATCATCAAAAAATAAAGGGGTGAGAGAGGGGGGCTACAGAATTTTATTGGGAAAAAAATGGTGTCTGAACATTCTTTAGACTACGATAAGGACATTTTTCTCAGTCCCTCCTTCTCCTTGCCTTTTTATTATAGTTTGGAATGGTCAGCTGTTATTGTAGATGAAGCTCATAGAATCAAGAATCCAAAGGCAAAAGTAACAGAAATTATGAAGGCTTTAAAGTGTAAGGTTCGCATTGGCCTCACTGGAACCATTCTTCAGAACAACATGAAGGAGCTGTGGTGTGTTATGGACTGGTGAGTGAAAGCACTTTAAAAAATTTCCCCCATATCTTTAGCCTAATACCACTGTGTTGGCTAATATTGTTATCAACTTGATATACCTGGGAAGAGGGAACCTTAGTTGGGGCATCCCCTCCATCAGATTGGCCTGTGGACATGTCTGTGGGTCATTTTCCTTTCTTTTTAAGATTTATTTTATTATTTTTAATTAGGTGTATGTATGTGTTTGTGTATCTGTATGTCTACATGAGTGTGATGTCCTCAGAGGCCAGAAATTGGATCCTCTGGAGCTGGAGTTACAGATAGTTGTGAGCTTCCAGATGGGTGCAGGAAACAGAACTCAGGTCCTCTGCAAGAGCAGCATGCACTCCACTCCTAACAGCCGAAACATCTCTCCAACCCTTGGGGAAGCGGGGAGGTGGTTTCTTGATTGCTAATTGATGGAAGAGGGCCTAGCCTTCTGTGGGCAGCCCTCCCACCTACCCCCACCCCCAACCCCCCACCCCCAGGCCAGTGAGCCTGACTTAGATAAGAAAGGTAGCTGAGCAGAAGCAGGGAGCAAGCCAATAAGCAGCCTTCTTCCCTAGTTTCTGCTTCAAGTTCCTGCCTTGGCTTTCCTTGATGATTGACTGTGACCTGTAATATGAAATAAACCCTTTCCTCCCCAAACTGCATTTGATCAGAGTACTTGATCACATCAACAGAAAGCAAACTAGAACAACCATGTTGTTTTCTAATTGTTAGTTCTTTAAATCTCACCCCTACCCAAAATCGTCAGTTAACTGTTTATAGAAATATTTAATCCCAAATATGTTACACAGTGTAGAAAATCCTGTGAAAACTATTTTAACTTGTTACTGTTGGTCCCCAGAGTAAATATAAATACTAACTTACCAGGTCCATCATCTTTAGTTGTAAACAAGCTGTCATACAGAAATTCTGGATTTTGGGGGTCTTGTTTTTGTTGTCATTAATAAGTAAACTACTGAATATATTTCTTACAAGCAGAAGTGAATGTTTTTCTTCTTGGATAATTTAATAAACTTGTTACATTTTCTTATTGCCTTTATAAAGGGCTGTGCCAGGACTTTTAGGTAGCAGGACCCACTTTAAGAAGCAGTTTTCTGATCGAGTGGAACATGGCCAGAGACACACAGCAACAAAAAGAGAACTTGCTACTGGCCGAAAGGCTATGCAAACACTTGCAAAAAAGATGTCTGGCTGGTTTCTCAGGCGTACCAAGACGCTTATCCAGGATCAGTTGCCTAAGAAGGAAGACCGGGTGAGAACTGTGTTTGAGTATACTATTGATTTCTTGTTACAGTTTTTTTTTTTTTTATTGAAAAACCTTTTTTTTTAAGCTGAAGTCTATCTTTGGTTATATTTTGTGAATATAATTTTGTGGAAATAAGCTAGTTATATGTGGGATTTCAGAAAACATTGAGTCCAATGTTTTCCTTAACTTTATTAACCTGCTAGGTAACAAGTTTATTAGTAGTATATTTGTTGGTTAGCTTTCTCTTGTCATGACTTTCTTGAGATAAATTACCTTAGAAGGATAGATTTATTTTGGCTTCATAGGTTTCAATCCATGATCCTTTGGATTTATGACTTCGGGGCACATGGTGGAGCAGCTTCTTACCAAAGGCATATGATAGGCAGATTTAATTTTATGACACTGGTTATATACAGTTGGGTATAGAAGAATTTTACTAAGTTCTAATGCCAACAGAAATATGAGGTAAATTGTGTTCCTTAACTTAGTGGCATATTTTTTGTTATATTTTGTTCTTTTCTTGAATGTGGGCATAAAACAACAACTTGTATTTGCTTTTATATATTTACTTTATTCTTATCCTTACTAATTTTAGGAATTTGTAGCAAGATATTAATGACAGATAACTATGTTTAAAGTAACATGAAATGTTCTAAGTATTTCAGTAAGCACTTGGTAGTTATGGTATTGCTCTGAAATATTCTGTATTTCCTTAATCATCGTTTTAATTTGGTTTCAACTTTAATAAGTTGTTTGCATGATGTACTAATAAACTTTTTTTAAATAAATAATTTATTGAGAATTTCATACATTCGCATAAGGTTGTTTTGATCAAATCTGTGCCCACTCCCTCCTCTCCAACTCCTCCCATATCTCCCCATCACTTTTTTTCTAATAACTTCATGTACACTTTCTTCTTGTTTGATTTATTTTTTTATTTTTTATGGGGTTTTGGGCTACTCTAACGTTCTGCCCTCTGAAGAGGTAACCCTAAAATATTTTAAGGGTTGGATAAAAGCTCCCAAATATTTTCAACAGTTTTGGCCTTGGGAACGGAGTATGTTACTAAGAGGCCCAAGGACATTGTGAGTTTTAGCCAAGAAACTGGCTACTTTTCTTTGGGGTCTTTTCACCCTAACTTCCTAGCCAATTCATACCTCCTATTCTTATCACACCATCTTTGAAGAGGTTACCTAAATTGCCTATAGGGAATCTGGACGCAGACTGCTTCTTCCATTCTGAACAGGGACGCAGAGTGAGGCAATTGGAGTACCCCTTCAGTGGGTCTATCTAAAAGACTCCCAAATTGCATAACTCTTATCTCTAAGGGGAAAAGAAAGTCCTTGAATCTGTGAATAGGAGATGTGAAGGAGAAGAAAAGGCAAGAGTAATTATCATTACAAGTTCTAGACAGGGAACTAGAAAAAAGTCAGAACAGGGCAGTTTTCAAATGTTCATATGAGAGTGCATTGGAACTTCTTGATAAGGACTTCCAAAAGCTTCCCTCTATTGGGTTCTTCCTCATTTTTCTTTTGTCTTCCAAGGCTGGACTGTAGAGTGATTGATTCAGGATTTGCTTTCAGGTATTTTGATAGCTGATGGACTGGTTAGAATTAGTGTCAGTTCCCTCTCAAAGACTTCTAGATAGGGGGAGAAAACAAATTTGGCCATCATTTTAGAACAATAGTGGGTTGTCTCCCTTAGCTACAGGTGGGCACTACAATATTGCAGAAATAACTTTTTATATAGACTTAAGCCTAATGTCTGGGAAGTGTAATCCCTTCAACTCTTAAATATACTGATGACTCTTTGGTTATACTTTCCTTTTGGGTATTTAAGACCATACAGTTGGCCCAAATAAATCAATTTATTTTTACATCTAAGGTCATTTGAGGATCTGTTCCTCAGGGGTCACATGGGCTTGGGAGGATCTCCTGGCTCCTTACTTTTACCAGTTCCATCTATTTGACGATAAGTCAAAGGTCCTGCTCTACCATGTCTGGCTTCACTTGGAAGAATGAATGAGATATTTCCTCTTGAGTTGACTGGACACTGGTTCAAGTCCATCTCGTGGGGTCTCCATGTCCTCCCTGAACAACAGGACAGGTGACTCACCACAGTTACAGGACATTTTGAGAGATGTTCCATAGTCCCCTGGAACTTAGCT